TACGTCGATGGCTCATCCGCCGCCGCCTGGCCAAGGAACTCTTCGCAAGACAGATGGAGTACCACTACCTCTCCTTCGTCCACAAGACACCAAAGAGGACGTCCATCCTCAGTGGTCCTCTCTGGGTGGACGAAGTCCTCTGCGGCAACAGTGAGAAGGTCCTCGAGACATTCCGAATGTCAAGAGCAACGTTCTACAGCCTCTTGGCAACAGTGACAAGCGTGGGAGGACTGAAGCGAACGTGTCACGTATCAGAGACCGAACAGCTGGCCATATTCTTGTTCTTTGTTGGCCAGCGCGCAACAAGCAGGGCCATGCAAGAAAGGTTTCAACGATCAGGCGAAACGATCACAAGACATCTCCGAGCCGTTCTGAAGGCACTGAAGCGTCTCTGCTCAAGCTACATCATGTTGCCGGCAGAAAATGCGCCATGTGCATCCAAGATTCAAGGAAACCCCAAGTTCTTCCCGTTCTTCCAGCACTGCAGGATGGCGATTGACGGGACCCACATCCCAGTGTCAGTTGGCCAAGACGTCGTTGCGCGATTCCAGAGCAGGAAGGGCATTACTATGAACGTTTTGGCGGCGTGTGATTTTGACCTACAGTTCACATATGTGCTTGCTGGCTGGGAAGGCACCGCGGGAGATGGCAAGCTATATGAAGCCGCGAAACAAGCTGGATTAGCGTTGAGTGGCACTGGTTACGACATTCTCGATGCCGGTTTTGGTTTGACCAAGTCAGCTCTCACGCCATACCGCGGAACTCGCTACCACCTCAAGGAGTTCGCACTTGGTTCACGTCGGCCTCAGAAAATAGAGGAATTGTTCAATTTACGTCATGCCAGCCTGCGAAACGTGATTGAAAGAATCATCGGCGTCCTCAAGAAAAGGTTTTCCTGTGCTGGTTCACTCCGTCGACTACGACTACAAGTTTCAAGTCGACATGGTTATGATACTTTGTATGCTGCACAACTATATTCGTTTGCACAGCTGTCGGGACCAGGTCGAAGAGGATGCAATTGCTGAACTCAGACGTCAAAACGGACTGCCCATGCGTTTTGAAGACCGAGCCGTTGAATCCTTGGACGCTGAGAGTGATGAAGCTAAAGCCTGGCGTGATAGTATTGCGACACAGATGTGGACGCAATACAAATCGAATCTACGCGCTCGTCAACGATGCAATGGAAGTCAAGGATAACTTCGATTTTAATGAAACATGTCGTGCATCAAGGCGCCACAGCTCGCCGGAATTTACGCTCCTTCACGGCAATCTGTCGACGCAGCCAGACTTCTCTCGCATGTCCTTCATACGGACAGATTGAGCTGCCTTCGCCTTGCACTCCAGAACCTCATAGGCAAAGGAGAGTTCTTCTTCCAGCAAGATGTCGTCGTCGAATGCTTCATGCAGGAGGTCAATGGCTAGCGCTTCTACTGTTGGCCGCTCAACGTCCATAGCGAGCATGCCACGGACCACGTTCAGTTCCTCGCGACCGGATTCTCGGAAGCCACGGATCTCATCGACCATAGACGATGACAAAGTCAGGCGGATGCGCTTTGCCTTTGCACTGGGTGTTTGAACAGTCCTCTTTCTGTCCACGTTGGAGTGGCCAACAGCAACAGACCCGTCCGTTGATTCACTTCCTTCGTTTTCGCTCGCTAAGAAGTCTTGGACTTTGCCGACAATGTCATCGCCATCGTCAGATTCCAAATCGCCATCTCGGTTCGGGGAAGTGGGGGCGGTTGATGTCGAGGCAAATTCGCCTGTAGCAAGCGTTTCATCGTACAATTGCTGGCAGTATAGTTACTGTGGGATACGTTTCGTCTGCCAAAGACTCCATCTCGTCGGCTTGTCGCGCAAAAAATGCGCCCACGACCCGTCCAAGCAAATGAACCGGCACGTTGCCGCCTCGAACCCAATACCGGACGTCTTCACAATCTGTGAAACCTGCGCGTATTGCTTCTTCATCTCGGCGCTTCTCGACTCGACGTGACTTGTTCTTTCGTGTAGCTGACAGCGTGGTCGGAGTTGAGTTTCGTTCTTGCGGCATGCCAAGCTTCTCGCTTGAAGCCACTGTTGGCTCGCTTGCCCAGGACATGCACCTGGTGAATCTTTTCCTTCATCGAAGTGAAGTCTTTCTCGTCGTCCCTACTGGCCCTTCCGTCGTCCATCTTGCGTTCGGATTTGCGCGCCAAATGACGGAAAGGGTTTCAGATCTGGACGTCTGAACTATCCTCTGATTGGCTGTTCATTTCCGAACTTTCTTTTATTCTATGGCATCCAGACACACCACCTAAAATCATTCTTGGATCTTGAAACCCAAGAATTTCCTGCAATGTCGAAAAATGTTTTTTATTCAATATTCCAATATCCCATAATATTGGTGGGTGGCATCCAGACGGGCCCTAAGGACATTTCCATGGTGATGTGACAAATCGAATAGCCAATCAAATCGCTTTAGTTACAATTCCACCAATCACAACAGGGTATTGTCCAA